TGTGATTTTTTTTTTAATGAAGCTATGTGTGTGTTTTTTAATGAGTGTGTGTGATGTGTGTGTGTTTCATTACACGTGTTTTTTTTTTAACCACTTCCCGCGGGTTCACGTAATTGTGCGTCATCCGCTGGAAGCGGTGTTTTAATGAATGTGTGATTTTTTTTTTAATGAAGCTATGTGTGTGTTTTTTAATGAGTGTGTGTGATGTGTGTGTGTTTCATTACACGTGTTTTTTTTTTAACCACTTCCCGCGGGTTCACGTAATTGTGCGTCATCCGCTGGAAGCGGTTATACCAAGAACACGGCTGCTCCTGAAGCCATGTTCTTGTACCGTGTTAAACAGCTGACGATTGCTGTTTAAATACAAGTGATCCGGCGTCTGTAAAGGCGCTGAATAGCTTGTACGTTGCGGAGCTGTGCCCCCCTCCTCCAAGCCTGCAAGCACTATTTTGACCGCATCGGGCCGCAGGCACAATGTGCCCTGCGATCCCGAGCGGGCGATCGCATTGTGGCCGGAGGGCGTGGCTATGGCGCCATCCACTTCAATGGCCCACCCCTCCTACACGGCAAAAATTGAGCCGTCCGCACTGTGATGCAGTGCGTTCCGGCCAGAATCGGGCCGGGGCGCACTGCAAGTGGTGTGGACGACCCCTTAGAGCCAGAAGAAGAAGCTGGTGAAGATCTCATCAGCTTCTTTGGGATCCCTAGGTGACATTAGGGGTATGAAAAAACCCCTGATGTCTCCATGAAGAGGAACAAATGTGGCTTTCTATTAGTAGCAAAAATTATATATCTACCTGCTTAATTCCATGTAGCATTTTGTACAGCAAAGCAAAAAAAAGAGAACATTTGCTATTTACCTAAGGCCTAGTTCACACCTGGGCGTTTTGTAGCACGTTCGAACGCTCTGCAAAACGCTCAAACACCGAAATCCCATTATTTCTATGGGTATGGTTCACACCTTCCCAGGCCGTATGAACGCGCTACAAAACGCCCTACGCCCAAAGAAGTACAGGAGCTTCTTTGGGGCGTTTTTGTCGCGCGTTTCCATTGGGATACAGCCAAGTAGCACTCGGAAACGCGCGTTTGTCGTGTGTTTTTTAAACCGCGGATCGCAGAAATAACGCGCGACAGGCGTTAGGGAGACGTCAAAAACACTTGGAAAATGCCCTGCCCCAAAAAACAATGATAGATAAATAATGCTTAAAAAAAAATGTAAGCAAACGAAAAAAAAACAAAAAACAGCGTGGGGTCCCCCTCCCGATGCATACAAGACCCCTTTAGGTCTGGTCGGAAGGTTAGGGGGGACTCCCCCGGAGATACAAAAAATAAAAAGTGTGTGGGGTTCCCCTCCAAAAGTCATACTAGGAACAGGAAAAAAGAACGTGGAGTCCCCCCAAAAATCTCTACCAGAGCCTTGATCCAAGCACATGCCTGGCAGGGCAGGAAGGTGGGTGCGAGGCTCTTCTGCCCACAGAGCCTAGGAGCGGGTGACAGGACAAAATCTTGGGAAAGCAGAGGTCTCCAAACCTTGTGAAACCACTGTGTGGAATGTCTTCATATGAGAGTTGGAATCCTCAGCTTTCCCACGCTCTCCGCACAAGGTCCGTGATGTAACCCAGACAGAAGCCCGGGTGTAAGGTTTTTTTTAAATTCTTTTTTCTAAAGCAAACAAGTTAAAATAGAAATTCCACCATGTGGCCATCCCAAACTTCTAACAACATTTACCACAACAATAAGTGGTATTATAATTTAAGACAATCAAAAAGTAATGTTTCCATGTCTGTAATTTGAGATCTATTTGAGTGACTGTGAATGTTCATGACCATGTTATAGAGGTGTCCTCACCCCACTAATGTATTCTTTTCTTTTTCACATTGGTGATTAGAACCATGGCTCCGCAGCTAAAACAACGAGCTGTAGTTGTATTTCTGGCGAAAGACGGTTGCGCACCTAAGGAAATCAATAATCGGCTAAGGAATGTTTATAGGGACGCTGTAGTAGACATTGGCAATGTGTGGTGTTGGGTGAAGAAGTTTTAAGAAGGCGAAACGGAAATGCTTCCATAAAGTGACACTTAACTCAGGAATTAAATCTTAAAAATGCATTCAAGTATCCTATTAACAAGAATGTAGCTTATTTTTGCATAATTTAGCTGTAGATTCTCTAGTCATCTCTGAATTGGTGCTGTCCTTTTAGTAAACTAAACGTGAGATTGCAGTCCAACGCGGAAGTGAACTTGGAGTGGTGGCTACTTTACTATACACATAGGGACCATGGGGAAAAAAAGTAGCCACTCTCCAGAAGGAAGGACAGTGTCAGCGCAAATTCAGAGATGATTTGAGGATCTACAGCCGAGTGATACACAAATAAGATTAATTTTTGTTAATAGTATTCTTAAATGCATTTTTTTAAGTAGACCTTTACTCCCTTTAACTAAAAAAAAAAATCACATCAGCATACAGCTCTGCATGCTGATTTAAAATAATCTTACATTCATTAGTTGTTTTTTATTTACTTACAAATAGGGTTAAGCCCCATTCACATTGAGCGATTTATTACTGCGCGATATCGCGCTCCAATGCATTTCAATGGGGCAAAGGTCGTGGGTCGTGTGTCGCTACAGCAGGACCCTTTTTGGAGCGGATTTAGCCGCGATTCAAGCTTGCTCAATGCAAGCTTGAACGCGATATCGCGCGGCAAATCTCACGATATTGCGCAATATGCAAATCGCGCGACAAACGCGAGATTTGCATATCGTGCAGTGGGAACGGGGCCTTAATCTACTTCCTGGTCCAGTTCTGGCACAAATAATGTAAATGCCAAAGTGCTGCATCCTGGGAAGGTTACATAACCCAAGCATTGCTGGGAAATCTCATGAGATCCCAGGAAAGGGCATTTTTTGCCCCTGAGATGATGTGCATGGTCACATGTCCCAGTCATATGTGCCAGAGTTCAAGGAAGTAAATGGAGAGCTAGTAATCTGCCCTTAGTTTATATGGCCACTGTCAGAAGACTGGTAAAGAAAAGAAAAATAAGGTATGCAAAGAATACAAAGCCTGCAATTATTTGTTTGTAGATTGCCATTACTAAACATTTCGAACAGTGTGTTTGTTGTTATTTTAACCACGTCCCGTCCGCCGAACGTTGACGGGAGTCTCCTGGATGCGGGTGGGCGTCTTTAGACGTCCTTCGTGCCCCCTCTCGTGCGCCCCCTGGCACGCACGAGTGGGAGACCGCCTGGATTTTAAACGGCCAGCGGCCGTTTACATAAAAGTGGTCCGCCGTCTGTAAAGTCGCACGATCGCTTGTATGATGCAAGTGAGAGTGCGCCCCCCCCCTTACCTCTCGTCGCTGTCCCCGCCATCCCAGGCGATGTGGCTCTGTGCACTGAGAACGGAGGGAGCTCAGTACGCAATCTCCCTCAGCTCTCCTCCCGGTCTCTGAATGCAGGAAGTGATGTATATTACATCACTTCCGCATTCCTCTGTCACTCTCCAGTAAAGAACCCGGAGAGAAGCTGATGAAGCAGATCTGTGCTTCATCAGCTTCTCTGGGGGTCCCTAGGTGACATTAGGGGTCTTAGAGACCCCTGATGTCTCCATAAAGGGGACCTGTAACTGCCATTTGTTATCACATAGGGGACTTCTTAGCACCCTATGTTATAACAATAAAGTTTAGTGTAAAAAAAGTTTTAAAAAAAAATTGCTCACAAAATAAATACAAATTTACACACACAAAACAAAACCTACAAATTTTTTTTAAAGTCCCCCACCCCCACATAGATGCTCAAAAATGTGTTAGATGCGCCTACACGCAAAAACGACGATTGCTCCAATTATGCTGCACGTGTTACATATCGCCTCGAACGTCACAATGAGAGCAATAATTCTCGGGCCATTAATCACTGATAACACTAAACTGATGAGCGGTAAAATCATTTAAAGCGTCGCCTGTGGCCAATTTTGGCTATGGTGTTTTTTTGCGATTTCGCGAGCGCGCTCAATTTTAAGGCTTGACATGTTTGGTGTCTATTTACCCGACGTGACCCCGCCTTTTACATTTTACCAAAAAATTGGGGAAAAATAAATGTTTCCTAAAATAATAAAGGGAAATCCATTTTTGTTTTTTTAATATTCTGTACTTTTTTTGTTATATAGTAAAAAATAAAAACCCCAGTGGTGATTGAATACCACCAAAAGAAAGCTCTATCTATCCCCAAAAAATAGTATAAAATTCATTTCAGTACAGCGTTGCATGACGGAATAAACGTCAGCCAAAGTACCGCAGCGCTGAATACTGAAAAATGGCCTGGACAGGAAGGGGGTGTAAACACCCTGGTCAGCAAGTGGTTAAAGATATGGGTAAAGGTCCACTTTAAGATTTAACTCATGAGTTTAGTGTCACTTTAAGCCCACAGGTTCTTTAAATCTAAAAATATTGTACCACTAAAACAAAAAAATATGAAGCCATAGTATGTTTATTTGCTTGGTAGAATTTGTATGTTACTTACCAACATTAGCGACGTACAGTTTGTTGTTTACAATTAACACCACAATAACCATTGCTCCCCCATAGATTTCCTTCTCTAAAGAATTTAGTCGCTCTACAATCTTCTGGTATTGGCTGGGAAGCTGCTGGAGGACCGTACCCTACAACATAAGACAAAAACAAACAATGCAGTCAATATCCTGCGGAGTGGCCCAGACTGGATTTACCATAACCGGCCTGTATAACATAGTAGATTATTTGCAGATATGATTTTATTAAAAGAAACCTATGTCAAGGGGAATATAAAGTATTGCAAATATTGTTGCAATACTTTCCTAGACGCTTACCCAGACATAACATGCAGTATATCACGTACTCTGGGCTGGCATAAAAGAAAAACACACTAGTTCTACATACTTGTTCCAGGTAAGTGACTCGTGGAAGTACAAAAGCCACTTGATCAGCACGACAGCCAAGAAAGGGAGGTTGGCAAGAGTGGCCTACTCACTTCTTTGGCACAGGTTTTTGTAAAGCTGAAATCCAGGCAAACAGCAAAACACAGAAATTATTACATATAAGGGAGGTGGTTTACCTGCCAAGGTATTTGCATCTAACCTGTCCATCCAGGTTTCAGATTTGCAAATCTCTTCTGACATCAAGTCAAATTCAGTTACTTACCCTGCTTGTATTAAAAAATGTCGGTCTGGGCTCTAATGATGGTACACATATTTACCCTATGAAAGGAAGTATGTTAGGACTAAAGGACACTTTCGCCTCCCCTCATCTCTAGAACATAGAGGGAGGTGTTTGGCAGTGCTTATATGTGACCTAGGCAGGAAAGTAAGACTGCTGGAGATAATGTTGCAGAGTGCACAGGACAGCACTAGATTTCTGACAAGATGACATATTTAACAGACCAAAAGGGAGCAAGTAAGTAAAGTTCTTTGTTAGGGTTTACATATACTCTAAACTGCAACTTTTTCCTACAAGGTAAGCAACACAATCAGGTATGAAGAAGGGATTAACAGATATATTATGTTAATTTTAACCTGCATTGAAAATTACAAGTGAAATCTAACTGATTAAAACACAGTCTCACTTTAGAATCCTTTTCTCAAATAACGCTCATGTCTCAATATATTTTGTTACCTCTGGAAGCTGAGACTGGAGGCTTGTTTTCTCCGCTAAGGAATCATCAATGGATTCCAAGAAACTTCTTTCCACTACATCAAATGCCTTGGAGACAAGATTCAAATGCAGAAATGTTACTAGAACACCCTTCTCATTATACAAATCTCAAATGCATACCAATATAATGAACAGCAAGTTTATATAAACATATGACTGCAGTGTAAAACAGATTTTACAGACCCATCCGGGCAGCAAATTAATTCTGACCTTTAATAAATCGACACGATGAGGTATCAAAAAGCATTTGCATAGGCACCACCTACTAAAGGACTCAAGGATCTCTAAATTCCGCTGCAAAAAGCCCTTAATTACCTACCGCCGTTGTCCCTCCCTTAAAGACAAACTAACAGCGAATATGATATCAATAGGGGCGAATGCTGCAAATATCAGGGCACTTTTCAATGCCAAAAGTGCAAATTTTGCAAGTACATCCAAACAGGAACAGAGGTTATTACCCCTAAAGGCAGAAAAATTAAATTGCGACACTTTGCAAACTGTGAGACAATTGGAGTCATTTATCTCATGCTTTGCAAATGCGATATGTTTTATGTGGGTAAAATAAAACGAATGTTGAAAAATCGCATTTCTGACCATTTGGCAGATATTAGTGCCCGGGATTTAAGATCACCAATAGTCAGGCATTTCACAAATGTACATAATGGAAAAATAGACGGACTTCGCTTCTTTGTCCTTGATAAGATACATAAGCAAAACGTGGTGGGAATTGGGATCAACATTTACTATAGCGAGAGTGTAGATGGATCCTACAAACAGAATCCCAGGACGCTCCTGGAATTAATGAGATGATTAATTTTAGTTGCTTCTTATGAATTGACCACCACTTATATTGACCACCGCTCAAATATACTGCTCCCACAGGATCCCCCACTGACATTATGCTCTCACTGTTGAAACATCCATTGTGGATAGTGTATACTTTATTTGTATTAACACCTATATTAATATACATACAGTCTCTATCTATAACCATATACCTATTCAGCTTTGCTAAACTTTTTGAACTATCCTTTTTATTACTTTATGTTTTATTAGATATATACATATACTTATATATATATATATCTGTTTAAAAGCATAGAAATGATCAGTTAATGCTATCTTACTAACCACCACTCAAACGTACTGCTCCAATAAGATCTCCCATTGACAATGTACTCCTATTGATAAAGCATCTACTAGGTAAATCTGTATACTAGTTGTATTTATATCGATTCACTCATGGTCTTAAGTTATCTATAACTACACATTTATCATTACTTCTCGTAAAATTTTCTGTATAACTTCTTTTATGACCTTGTTTCTATCAGTGATATGCTTACACTTCATAAACAATTTAGAGCATTGTCGGTGGGAATAAGATCCGACTTACAATGATATGTATAAATATATTCTCTGTTTAAAAGCACAAAAATGACAAGTTAATGATATATCTTGCGGCATATTTGCCTGCTATAGAATTTCGAATGAGGATACCAATTGAATTAATTGACGAGCACTATAACTCACCTGTGTCTAAGAGAGAAACTCACACCCCTCTGAAGAAGCCCCACTTTGCTGGGGGGAAACGTGTAAGGGACAGCGTGTCTGGAGCTCCCTGCATAGCTTTCCATTACATGCTACACTCATGGCTGAAGGACGGCCTGATGAAACCCCATAGAGCGGATCGAGCTACACTGCTTGGATGTTAATACACAGGGACCGGATCAAAGGCTTTGATACAAAGTATTTCCTATCTCTTCACACAGTGAGTTGGTGCGGCCGCACTACAAAAGAGATATATCTGGAAGCTGTCAAATATGTAACAACTCGATCACATGAAAAGGATCGGACGGGAATTCCACTGTCAGCTGTACATTTGAAATGCTCTCCAGAAACGGCTACTATCTTTGAAACAACAAGTGGATACAAGTTTCTGTTTGGACTCAGAGAGGTTAATAAGTAACCCTGAACTGGCTGTGTAACCCGTCTCCATTCTTACAAAGGAACATTCCTTTGAAACAATCATCTTTTAAAATCAAAAGTTGCATTCATTTTCTCCAGCTTCTGATCCACCACTGACCGCTCGACACCCAGAGGGGTAACTATATAAATCCTGTCACGCTTTAAGCACGCATATGTAGCTGTTGCAGGCTAGTCTTCATGATCTTTTAAAGTTTTTAAATGTTCGTGTTTTGTGATTTATGTGTTCTCATTTTTCTATTTCATTAAATACATTTATAAAGAATTTACATGTTACGATATTATTGATTTATCCTCTCCACATAGGGATTTCCTTAGTGCTAAGGGGAATCATTTTTTCTATATAAAATTTATTAAATCACTTTATAGAAAAAGGTATGAAAATCAACAAATGCATAAACAAACATTTAAAACATCCTAAAATTGTCTACTATACCAGCCATGGCTATTGTGTAGCACTATGGAAAATTATAAATCTTGTATATCATATATCATGTATTAGAACCTAATGCCAAACTGCAACAATATCTGAAATGTAACAAGCCAAAACATTATGTATATGTATAATCCACCTGTGGACTAATCAGAGCAGTGGTTCTCAACCTCAAGAACCTCAGTACCCACATTTGTCCTTGGTCATTAAGTCGCGACCCAAGTTGCACTGCAATGGAATGTACGGCATTAGGGTACCATGCGATCTGGAACTGTAGGTGGGAGGTGTTTTTGGGATACCATTCAAATGATTGGTAACGCAACACACCTCCCGCACCAGAATGCGTAGTAGGTGCGATTGCGTGGTAGAGTTTAACCCACTGTAAATGGGCCCTCAAAAACACTGACATACATACACAATCTCACACACTCACAGACATTCTCACACTCACTCCACCCAGTCTCCCTACCTTACGAGAAGTGGAGTGGATCCTCAGCCTGGGGTCCAGTGTGGGCTGCTGTGCTGGAGTGCCATCCATATGTGCATTGCTTGTACAGCTCCGTTGCATGCACTGTAGAGGTGTCGGGAGCCAGAATGTGATGTCACTCCGGTCCAGGTACCTCTACAGGACAAGTGGGGGGGAGCTGTAAGCAATGCACGTATGGAGGGACCTCCCTCGTGGCCATAGCTCTAGCCTACCCCACCTCAAGCTGACACTCGCCGCTGGGCAACATATTTGGAATGGCTGCTCGGCATGAGAACTGACAGTGTTGTGCTAGGTGGAGGCAGAGGAGCCTCTCGCCTAAAAATGAGGAAGGCATGTGGCGACCCACTGAACACCGTGTTGCGACCCACTTTTGGGTCACGACCCACCAGTTGAGAACCAAGGAATTAGAGGATGGTTCAACCAAAAAAATATATATAATATTAATAATACATAACAATATAAAAAAGGATGTCTATTACCCACTTGTGTGGACTACATTAAAAATAGTTTATCAAAAAAACTCAATTGAGAATGTGATGAAAATTGATGAAAAGGAACTTGTAGTATCAATTCAGAGTTCCAAAACGAGAGTTCCCATGCTGTAAGAATGTTCCTCTGTAAAGGAATGGAATGGAATTAAGCAAGAGGAACCGCTTTGAAGGTTGACACCATCTATGCCAGTATTGTCCAGCAGGTTCTAAGGAGTGGAACGGGACATGATCGAAGCAACCGAACTTGATCCCACATCAATATTTTGTTGTGAAGAAGGAACACTTTTGCTTGAAGGGTATCCATCAGAAGACCCAAATACTCCAAGCAATGTGACAGAACTAGGGACAACTTCTCAATGTTCAGAGTCCAACTGAAGTCCTTCAAAAGGTCCACAGCACAGAATAGACATTGAGCTCCAAAGTAGGAAGAGACTGCTCTCCAGGTAAAAGGATGTTTAAGTATATGCTAATCGGAACGCTCTTGAGATGAAAAAAATCCCAGAACCGGAGCAAAAACAAAAACCCTTGTAGCCGAGGGCAAACACGAAAGGAAGAGCCAAAAATTAATAATGCAGGTGCCCATTGCAAAAGGAAGGAAACTTTGATGAGCTGGAAATACAGGAATGTGTAGATACACATCATTTATGTTTACGGAAACCAAAAAATCTCCTTGTCTAAGAGGCGACAATCAATCAAATGGATTCCATCCTGAATTTGTGAATATGTATAAATGCATCGAGTGCTTTCAATCCAGAATCAAAGTCTTCCGTTAGGTTTGGGAACCATAGACAGGTTTGAGGAAAAACCTTGAAAACATTCTGCCAAAGGAACGGGAATAATAACGATCTGACAAAGGAATAGGAGTTTAACACCCAGATTCAATAGACCTTGAACTTTGCAAAAAAGGTTTGGCCAACGCTGGGAAGAAAGATGAAAAAATATTCTGAAATTTGAGTTTTCCACAACGCCACAAATTCCATCAGATGTCCTCCCACCAGATATAGAAAAGGTGGGAGCAGACCTTCATACTAAAGTGGACTTTTTAATTGCCAAGCACATCTAGAGGGTCCAAAGGTTTGGAAGTGTAACACGTCTTTTGAAACTGGGAACTAAAGAAACATATAAAAGATGGAAAAAAAGGATTTGATTTTTTTCACATCTGAGGTAAGTGTTCACTTTTACCTCCTGTAGTTTTTTATAAAATCTAATCCAAGGTAGCTTGGAAAAAAAAAAGTCCTCTCACGTAGGGTAAATGCAAAAGTCCCTTTTTGCATTGGGGTTCTGCCGACCAGCACTTAAACCAGATAGCTCTGCATATCTGAATGGAAGAGACAGACACATGAGACAACAGAGCATCAAGAAACGCATCCTTTACGAAATAAAAAGCCACGGTAATCTGATCTACACAATCGATAAAACGTGGATCAACTCCAGCAGTTGCCTTTTCAATACTTAAAGATTTTGTCCAGTAGCCAAAGTCTAGAAAATCAGGACCATAGCCAATAATGGTTAACCCTTTGCCGTCCGCCCATTGTAAAATTACGGGCAGACATACGTGTACGTAACTTACTTCCTGGTTGCGGGCAAGTGCAATCAGGACCCCGCCGAGAATCTAAACAGCCGTTACCGTCTGTTATATACAAGTGTTTCCGATCGCTTGTATGACCATGCAATGCAGTGTTGTTGTCCCCTCCCTCTGTTGCCACGCATCCCCCTCCCAGCCGGTTATCCCGGGCTCTGCTGTCCCTCCTGCGAGCCCGGGACCAACACAGCAACTGCCTGTATTCAGGAGGAGAGATCAGCATTTCCCCCACCGCTGATCTCTCATCCTTCTCTCTCTAAAGGCGGAAGTGATGTATATTACATCACTTCTGCCTTTAGCTGTCATTTCTCTGGCTGAGAGCCAGAGAAGAAGCTGGTGAAGCAGATCTCTGCTTCATCAGCTTCTTTGGGCGTCCCTAGGTAAAATTAGGGGTCCCCTGATGTCTCCAAGAAGAGGACTTGTAAGTCCCAAATAAAAATGTAAGTCCCAAATAAAAACAACCAAAAAAAGTGTTAAGTCCCCCGCCTCACGTGGACACTGTTATGCACATAAATATGCGTCAGGAGCGCCCACATGCGAAAACAATCATTACTCCACACGTTACATATCGCCGCCAACGCCGGAATGCGAGCAATAATTCTAGAGCCATCACTCACTGATAACACTAAATTGATGAGCGGTAAAAGCTTTTAAAGCGTCGCCTAAGGACAATTTTAGGCATGATAGTTGTTTTCGATTTCGCAGGCACGTGCAATTTTAAAGCTTGACATGTTTGGTGTCTATTTACCCAACATGACCCCGTATTTTATATTTTACCAAAAATTTGGGTGCTGACAAATGTTTTATAGCATAAAGAAGGGAAAACATTTTTTCAAAATTTTTGGTTCTTTTTTCATTATATAGAAAAAATAAAAACCCCAATGGTGAATAAATACCACCAAAAGAAAGCTCTATCTGTCCTCAGAAAATTGTATAAAATTAATTTCAGTACAGCATTGTATGACGGAATAAATGTCAGTCAAAGCACTGCAGCGCTGAATGCTGAAAAATGGCCTGGACAGGAAGGGGGTTTGATACCCCGGTCAGCAAGTGGTTAAAGAGTTGAACAAGGTTTTGGGTTTCATTTTTTTTTTTTTACAAAAACAATCATCCAGAAAAAGATACAGGGACTTAAAGCATCTAGCAACCAGAAATTGCTGATCTGCAATTTCTCAATTCAGTAGTAAGACATAGATTAGAAAGGAAAAAAAAAATCACTTTTACACAGTGCCCGGCTAATGACTGTCTGTTTTGACAATTCTGCCTCAAAAAGGTTTAGACACAATAATACTCACAGCCCCAACCGGTGTGAGGAAAGGTACTGCAACCACCTGCTGCAGACAGAAGAATGGCTATGTAATAATAAAAAAACAGGATATCTCTGTTCTCCCCAATAAGCAACATGAAATTGAGGGTAAATAAGAAACAAAGGAAGCAAAGTCGAAACTGCTCCTTCTACGTTCACCGCTGATAGAAACGCACTACACCGCTCTGAGGAAACCAGAAAAATGGATTGCACATGGTAGATAATAGCAAACGTGTCATCAAATCGAGGTAGTGGAGGGGGGGGGGGGGGATTTAAATAAAATCAGTCAAACTCCACATAAAAGCATTTAGCCACATAAAAGCACACAGCCAAAGTAAAATAAAAAGGAGGGAAAACACAAAACCTTATAAACATTAGGTAAATACATGTTTTACTCACTACTCTATGACACTATGCCCAACATAATAACAGGAATCCCCAGATAATACTGGCCTGACCGTTCAATAATAAAGACAGGAATACAGGACCGCTGCAGGATGAAGCATTTTTCCTAGAGGCAGCAGCCTAACTCTATGTCTCAGAATTCTTCAGAGCTGTGTCCCTCAATGGAAGATAGAGGAAAAATAGGAACTTTTCTTTTGTACGCGATAGAGTGGGGAAGGATTAGAAACCCTGTTTTCTTTTACTATCTGGAGAGCCTTTACCTCACTTACTCTCACAGTGACAATGGTTTCACCAGACATCAAGTGAGAGAAAATCTGAAACAGAGGCATAAACAATAATGCAAAGCCAACTCTGGTTCTAGCTTAAACCTATTCTTCTGTATTTTGGGCTAATCCTTTTCCAGTCTATCCATACTAAAAGTAAAAATGTTTTGTATGGACAAGCACTTGAAAGAAGTTCTTTAAATTGTAAACTCCTAGTGCACATGCTTGATAGGACGATAAAAAACAAATTAGCATTATATTACCCACCTGTAACAACACTCTGTGAACTTCTGCATCAGTAACATCTGTCAACTGTCCTAAAAGGAGTTCTGCAGATAATCGCTGGCCCACAAAATTGGTGGCTCTGGTGCCACTGTACCCATTGAACACTCCATAAAGATAAATATTATTCTCTCCTCTGCACAAAGACACAAAATAATTCATATTTAACACAAGATATATCAATAAAATTTGTAATCCCACTTCTTTCTCCACTCCCCCCCCTCCTCCCTTCCCCACCCTATTTCCAGGACAATATTGTCGTTTACAGTAAACAGATATAGAGGTTGTATTGCTACATGCTATGTTTTAAGTTATTATCTGTTGCCATGATGCCTATGCATTGATTGTCCATGGCTTGTATCCGGCTGGCTACATGCCTTTGTAACAAAACTTATTGACCATATGCATCCAGTTGCTATGTTTCTTACGTACTTCAAACTCAATAAAGATATACATGCTTAAAAAAAAAATGTGTATACAGTGGGGGGAATTTATCAAAACTGGAAGGCAAAATCTGGAGCATCTCTCTTTAGTTTGATCAGGTAAGATTTAAAAATTAGACAGAGAAGCTGGTTGCAGTGTAAATCTACTCCAGATTTTGTCTGCTCCAGTTTTGATAAATCCTCCCCAGTATGTTTTTTTCTTTAGTCAGGTAAATATAAAATATTGCATATTATAATGTATTACGCAGCCTTCTATCCAACCAGAAGATAGAATTCTAGTCTCTTTTTTGTCAACATATTCGGCTATTTTAACTTATTGCTTTTGTTTTTCACAACAGAAAGTCTTCTATTTTGTATCTTTTTTCAGGCTCTCTTAACATTTCAACTGTCTGTAGTCTGCATTTGTGGACACTTTCTGTTTGTTGTGCAGCTCAAATGGATTTCCCCAAACAGTGACCTGGCTGACATATTCCCTATTTGTTCTCTGTTCGGTAAAGCACTGTGTGTCACTGAGATACAGGCTTCCCCAATATGGGCACCAGAGTTTGTAACCAAGGACAATTTCTATTTTCCTTGCTTGAAAGGGATTACATGAATCAGTATTTCCACTTTTGCAGCCAAATTGGAATTATTGCTCTCACTCCGACGTTCGCGGCGATATCTAACATGTGTAGCGCAATTGTCATTTTCGCACTTATGCGCACCGACATGTGTTTGTGTGTGTGTATCTGTATGTGCGTGCACGTAGGGGGCAGTGGACTTTTAAAAAAAAAATTTAGCATTTTTTTATGTTACTTTATTTTTTTTCTAAACACTTTATTTTTTTTACACTATCCTTATTACTATCACATGAAGGGCTTACAAGCCCCCTATGTAAGCAGAGATCTGTTTCCGCAGCTTCTTCTTCTGGCTCTAAGAGCCGGAGAATTTACGTAGTGACACCGGAAGCGATGTAATACATATCACTTCCGGGTCCAGTGATCGGAGGAGAGATCAGCAGCTGGAAGGTGCTGAATCTCTCTTTGATCTTTGCGGAGAGAGCCTCCGAGCCAGTCCCGGACGCCGCACGGGTATAGTGGAGCCTGGAGAAACCGGCGGCGGCCCTGGCGGGGGGCGCACGGTACAAACGGTCCGGCGGTTGTATAAATGCTGGATTGCTTGTACATTAACAGCCATTGATGGCTGTTAAAAATGACACCAAGAACACGGTTGCAGCAGCCGTGTTCCTAATTTTAACCACTAATGCGGGCCGCTGTCTATAGACGTATTGCGGCCCGGAAGTGGTTAACAAAAATGTATGTTATTTGTGTATCACTCAGCTGTAGATCCCTTAAATCATCTCTGAATTCATGCTGACACTGTCCTTCCTTCTGGGGGTGGCTACTTTTGTTCCCCATGGTCCCTCTGTGTGTTTGTAAAGTTTTTTATGTCGCACAGTATTTGCGCAAATGTTTATCAAACATTTTTAGGATAAAATACACTAAAATGAAATTTAGTGCACAGAAACAGAATATAATGCCCAATATTTTTGTAATATATATAAAAGATGCGGTCACGCCGGGAAAATAGATACCAAACACGTCAAGCCTTAAAATTGCGTGCCCCCGTAAAACCACAAAAAAACTACAATACCTGAAATTTCCCATAGAGGACGCTTTAAAATCTTTTACTGCTCGATCAGTTTAGTGTTAACAGTGATTGATGGCCCTAGAATGATTGCTCTCACTCAGACATTCGCGGCGACATGTAACATGTGTGGTATGTAGACGCATCTGACACAGGTTTGCGTTGTATATGCGTGCACGTGGGGGAGGGGCACTTTAATAAAAAAATTCTGACACTTTTTTTGCGGTCACATAGGGGGCTTACAAGTCCCCTATGTAATAGTTATTGGATGTGACAGGTCCTTTTTATGGAGACATCAGGGGTCCTTCAGACCTCTAATGTCACCTAGGGACCACAAAGAAGCTGATGAAGCAGAGATCTGCTACTTCACCTGGCTCTAAGAGCTGGGGAATGTCTACAGTGACACCGAATTATTGTAATACACATCACTTCCGTGTCCAGTGATCGGAAGAGAGATCAGCGGATATAAGGCTGCTGATCGCCCTCTGATCTGTCAGTGGAGACCCGCTGTGCCGTTCTCGGGCCCGCACGGGGGACAGCAGAGGCCGTGGAAGTCGGCGGTGGATGGGGAGGCACACCATACAAGCGATCCGGTACTATATAGGTACATAAACAAGAGCAGTGGTGTTCTTGGTATAACCACTTCAAGCGGGTGAAGTGTATTTACATGACCCGGCTAGAAGTGGTTAAAATAACAACAAACACACCTTTCTAAATGTGTAGTAATGACAATCTAAAAACACATACATATAGATAATTGCAGGTTTTGTATTCTTTGCATACCTTATTTATATTTTCTTTCCCAGTCTTCTGGCAGTGACCATGTTAGCTAAGGGCAGATTACTAGCTCTCCATTTACTTCCTGAAACTCTGGCACATATGACTAGGACACGTGACCATGTACATCATCTTAGGGGAGGAAAATGCCTTTCCAGATGAGATTTCCCAGCAATGCTCTACTGATGTAACCTTCGCAAGAGGCAACGCTTTGGCACATGCATCATTTGTGCCAGAACTTGATCAGGAAGTAGATGAACTCTATCTATAAGTAAATTAAAACAAGTTTGTTTAAAAAATAAATGTAAGATGATTTTAAGTCAGCATCCTTTTTAGTGAAAGGGGGGTAAAGGTCTGCTTTAAGCACAAGGCTCTTACTCTTTGGGGATTTTTTTATACAGAAAAAAGCATTCTGCAAAGTCTTATGGTGACCCTTTGGATGCTGCAATTAAACTGGGGTTATAATAGAAGAACGTGGTATCTAAATTTCACCGACCTTTAACTCCAATGCGAAAACAAGTGGAGAGGGAGTGTGGTGTACCTCAACCCAGGAATAACATTTAAATTTATTCTAGTTTACAATTCCCTAGATGTGGTGGAGGATTCGTTTTCTTTTTACAGCCTTTCTTCCCTCTTTATTTTCATCTGGTTATTCTGCCAGTAACACACATCCAGTTCTAGGGTGACAATGCTCACTCACTGTACCGTATCTATGGATAAGCAGCATTGTAACGCTAGGCTGCTCATTCCTGATTTAGACTATACAACACCATCTCCTCTTTACATCTCCTTAACACAGGGGGAGGTGTTGTGTACTTTACAGAGGTTAACTAGGTAGTGCTGAAAACATTGCTTATGAGTTCAGTGCAACAGTGGCAGTGTGCACAAGTTAAGAGCTCACAGGATTTCTTGCAAGATCAACAGGTATTTTTCTGCACTTGCAACATGGTGAAAGGAGCATGTACTGCGGAGATGTATTGGATTTGTTTTTTAACACTTATACATACACTTTAATGGAAGGGACTTTTTACAAAGACATGAAGCTGCCAATGCTAATCAATGAGATCCCATGTGTCACTGTTAATAATTAATAAATGAAATATAAGCAATGCCTCGTCATTCGATGCGCCATGATTCATTGGTCTGTCTGAGGACTTTTCACAGTTAATGATCAGTATCCACAAGGCCATTTACTTGTTTGGAATTACTACAAATAGTACTTTTTGGAAGATTGAAAGTCAACAAATAGCCAACCTAAACTTCAGCCAGTTGTCTTCACAGGGGTGTTCTTCCTTTCCCAGTCCCTCAGAGTTATAGGTTCGATTTGTAGCTGATCCGATTCCGGAGAGGTGGCAGAGTGGCAGGTCATCTGTCCAGCTGAGCTGTTCCTGTGAAAACAAGGCAGCTAAAGATTTAGCTTTTTATTTTTTTGATAGAATGGGGAAATATTAAAACCTCTTTCAGGTTTTTTATTATCTGAAACCTCCCTGCCAGGATTTCCTTTCTGTCCAGGTGACACCAGGAAAATACATTAGGGTAACTGGTTTCACCAGGACAGAAGCAGCATTAAAAACCTGACAGAGATTCTAACCTTTACCCATTTGAATAAAATATTTTTCTTCTGTCCCTGCTGGAGATATTCAGTTCCTTTTCCGATGGCACCCTGTTACTGGGTCAGAAAGTGAAAAGTAAGATAGCAACATCAACCTAACTGCAGATCTAACAATATCCACTCCATCAAAGAAAAAAAAATGTTTTGGCTGGCGCTGTGTTAGCTAGAACATTTGATTTTAACTAGTGGTCATCTGTAAGTAAAAGAAGAAAAAAAATCAGTATGGTGGTGGGAATTTACATTGAGGGGCTGCAATGGATGAATATAGGCGGGCTGTACATGCGAGGCAGCCCACTGATGGATGAATATGAGGATAACTGGTGGGGCTGCACATCAGAGTGTGTATTTGATTCTATTTAAACTACAGTAGAATTGAAACACTTTGTTTTTGTTTTGGATGGAGAAAGGGAGGGTTATAACACATCATCAACTCTTTCTGCGTCCCATTGGGAGATTAAAACAAAGAACTCTATTCAAAACAAAAACATTTCTATGCGTCCTAATAAGAGAGCGGTTTAGAGAACACCTTACTGGATGACAAAGAAGTAAACAAATTGCTGCTTTGAGAAATGCGAAAGTCTACCGAAACTTATACACTGCTGCAGACTTTCAGAACTTCAGTATTTGCTTAGACTTCGGCATATGCCTAGGATGATAGTGCTCATGCTTAGTGATAGGCCACTCAAGCATGAGCATTGGAAGGGACATGCCTACTCTTCCCATACCCGGGCATTTTGGGAGGTAAAGCAAGTAATACTTACCAGTCTAGTTGGTGATCTTCAGTCTACGGAAGATAAAGAACCCTTGGCGGCGGCCGCAATGTTTGGAGCCCCACTGTGCTAAATGCTCCCATGCAGTGGCCTCTATCTCAATAAAGGATACAGTAGTAATCCAAGGGCTGGCAGATGGAACCAGAAAGCACAGGCGGGCACCAGGCAACTGACACACCTGAAAGTGTGTGGAATGCTGAAGATTCTTCAGCCGCCATAGGACTTTGAATTTTTTCCATAATTCTCCTCCCTTGCCACTGGTGTTAAGATGCCCATACACCTTACAATTATCTGCAGATTTTCTGTGGTCAGATGGAAAAAGTGCAAAAAAAATTTTTTAAATGGAGAAAATAAAGGAAAACATTTAAAATAAATCATACCGCCAGTGAAAAGTACGTTTCACTGAACGGAAAAACGCGCAAAAAACGTGAAAAAATACGCTCAGGTGTGAACCCAGCCTAAAACCTAACTGGAATTTAAATTTAAATCATCTAAACACATTCCAGGTGCATCAAAACAAAATGTGTGCAAAGTGTTATAGCTTATCATCTTTAAAAAATCAGCCACATCCCGAGTAGAAAAGCCGGAGTCCTGGCATCATGCTGCAAAAAAGAACCCTTGTTCTGTGAGAAAGCAGTGGTCTCTCTGCAGAGGTCCAACATACCCCCTAGTGGGTTAGAGCCAGAGGTCTCCAGTCGGGAGAGTGAACATTGCTGATTGTAGAGCTATATGTCTGATTTAGTAGCAGGCATGTTAGATCTCTGCAATGGGACCACTGCTACCTCACAGACCATTGCTGGCCAGATCACAGGCTTTTCTGTGGCTGATTTAGAAAGAAAAACTTTAAGACTTTGCACAACGTTTGTTTTGAGGCGGCTGGAATGTATTTAGCTGATATAAAGTGAAAGTTCAGTCAGGCTTTAACCCTTTCCTGTAAGCCTAGGCTGTCGGGGACACACCGCTTGGGGGTGCATCATTAAGTAGAAAAACTGTAGAACCCGCACAAGATGGTCTTCCAAAGAAATCCAAACTTTATTCCACATGCATCTATATAAAGAACAACCGCTGCATACAGATGGGGATCCAGAGGAGAAGGGCCACTTCTCCCTGCTGGCTGCTTTCCCCCCCGAGGCGAGGGCCTCAGTTGCCTCCCGCTTGCTATGGCCCTGGCTGACGCGTCTCTTAGTCATAGCTAGGACTACGGCTGAGTAAGGCAGAAACGTGTCAGTAGTTCTTTGTATAGATGCAGGTGGTTCTACAGTTTTTGAGCCTATTAGAGTCATCCGTGCGCTTTGTGTTTTCATCATTACATAGACCTATGCACAGAGTACTATTGCCCTGAAAGTTGCTTGTACGTCAATACCTGTGCACCATTCAGTGTTGCAGTAAGGACTACTGACTGCTGAGTGAAAAGAGGAAAGACCTGTGATGTAATCAGACCGTCCAGAAGACACCTGGAATTAAGGTATGCTTTTAGGGATTATTTTTTTTTAGAAAATTGTTGCATGTTTAAGGGAAAAGAGGTAGGATTGGAAGGATTGGAAATAGGCTTTAACAATAGCAAAAGAATCTATTTTATTCAGCCTATGTGGCACTAAACACATAATGACTTTTAGTTAAAGGAGTAGCGGGGAGAAAATAAAATGTAATGCTTAGAGCTGGCATGGGACACTGCAGCTGTCTCTCATTGGCTTTATACTAAGTGTAGGGCTCAAAATGTCAGGCCCTGAGCTACTTGCCAGGCCTTAAGAGTTACTCGCCACCAGATGCCCCACCTAACCCCTACCCTGCCCCGGCCTTAACTCCACCAAGTCAGCGGTGTGACGCAAAGTAGAGCTCAGTAACAACCCAGAGTGCTGAGGTCAGTGGTGTAATACCAAGCACAGAGGCCAACAGTGGGATGCAAAGTACAGAGGTCAGTAATGTAACGCACAGTACAGAAGTCAGTAATGTAACGCACGGCACAGAGGTCAGTAATGTAACGCACGGCACAGAGGTCAGTAATGTAACGCACGGCACAGAGGTCAGTAATGTAACGCACGGCAGAGGTCAGTAATGTAACGCATGGCACAGAGGTCAGTAATGTAACGCACGGCACAGAGGTCAGTAATGTAATGCACAGAGGTCAGAAGTACAGAAGTCAGTAATGTAACACACAGAGGTCAGCGGTGTAAGGCAGAAAGAACAGGGACTTACAGTGCACATAGCTGATCTGATTTAGGTGCCCTCTTCCTCTCATGGTGGTGGTGGTACAGAGATATATCCTCCATGTACCGAGCTGAAGCCTTCCTTCAGGTCCTACGCTGCAAAAACGTCCAGCCGGCCAATAGCAGCTGCAGTCTTCCAGAGGAGAAAGCTGCAGATGGGCGGAGGAGCCAAAGTGAAGGGAAGACAGCCGAACTGATTCTTCCCCTCCTCGGCCACTCTGTAGCCAGAGAAGAGAGAATTGAAAGCGAGTGATCGCCGCTGCAGAAGCGGTGGTAGTTTCACCCATCCCCGATGAATTTCCACTCGCCAATTGCGAGGGGGAAAGTGGAAATTTTGAGCACTGCTAAGAGTATCATGTAACTCATGATCACTTTCTTTGATCACGGTCTTTTCTCCCTGCAGAGAGCAGTGACTAATTAATTATAGCAATCTTGAAGCTAAGATCCAGAGGAAAAGACAATACCCTTGCACTGGGGCTCTCCCCACACTGTAAGGGTTAAATGTTCAACTTTGACTAGGGTAAAAGGACTTTTACTTATCTTATTTATTACTGGTATTGATATAGCGCTGACGATTTACACAGCGCTTTACATACAGAACATTCACATAAGTCCCTGCCCTCAAGGAGCTTACAAGGTACCTACTGCAGACGCATTCAGGGCAGATTTGACAGGAGCCAATTAACCCTCCAGGATGTCTTTGGAGCACCTGGAGGAAACCCATGCAAGCACAGGGATACTCCTTGCAGATACTGTCCTGACGTGCAGAAGCCGGCACTCAACTCTTGCCTCTGGTCCCTCTGTGTCCTCATGTACAAGGCAGGGTTATTAGTCCAGTCTTGTACTTGACAATGTCCAAGTAGTATCACATAGCATGGAGGGAGCCTACTACATTATGGAATCAGGTCAATAAAAGTTATTTTTCTAGGTATACTAGGAAAAGACAAACACTTAACCCTTGAAGTGCTGGGGGAACCTCACTACAAAGACATGTTTTCTTTCTCCTGGCATTCAGCTTTAAGAACTAATAACTTCCAGATGACAAAGAAAAAGGAAGTTTTTTTCTGTTGCCATAGCAAGAGGTAGGGCTACACCATCAAATTAATATCCCCAAAAAAACACATACAGTTTCTTTTCGCAGAGTTCTGCAGAAAGTGAACACTTATTATGTCTGATTTTAACATGCACGGATGCGCTAAGTTGTTTTTCTGACACAACCACCCAAATAGCCTTCCCCACTTCTTGCAAATCCTTGTTGTCTGAGCACGTTTTGAGCTACAATCAGCCCTTTAAGCCCCCTTACTGTCTGAAGCAGACTTCTTCTCGGCGCAGCCATCTTGGACCAGAAGTGACGAGCCAGCTGATTACGGTCACGTGATGGCCGATTCAGCTGGTGGGGTTATGGGGACATCTAGCGGTCAAGTTGTGGAACAACGCGATCCTACTGTCCTCAATCTATTGTGAAGTAGAAGGAGCCCTGTGTTCTGTCAGATCTGACTTAGAAATGTATTAGTGATTAACCACTTGAAGACCGGGGTGTTTCACCCCCTTCCTGGCCAGGCCATTTTTCAGTATTCGGTCATGCAATGCTGTACTGATACGAATTTCATACCATTTTTTGGGGACACATAGAAGAAGGTGGTTAAACAAATGACAATTATTCTCCTTATATGTTATTTTTTACATTACAATCATTATATTCTAAATGTACAACCGCCTGTAGATCTACCAACAACAATGTAGTGCAAGGTCCTGCCTAATTGAAAAAAATTGATTAGATAGATTAGGTAGGATCTTATATCACATAGTGCTGGTAAATCAAAGTTGATTGTATGGTCAGATTGTAATATGTATGGTGACCCCTAAAGTGTTACTAAATGATCCATCATAGAAGAAAAGTAAAACCAAAGTCAGCATATAGGCTACTGTTGCTATATGCTGCCAACTCAGCACTGACAGTGCAATATTATCAGGATCCACCAGGCTGCCTGATTGACAGCTGGCTCAGCCTCTCTAAAGCCAGAGCTGTGCCCGCCCCCTCCGCTGTCGGTCCCACCAGTGAGCTCTGGCGGGACATCCCTGGCGGGAGCGGTGACTAACTGTCACTTTCTTTGAGGGCCCAGTCACACCATACCCAGTGTGTGCCTGCGCGGTCCGAGCCCGGAATGCACACTGAATCGCATAGATCAAGCCGGGCCACTGCAATTCATATCAATGGCACCGCAAGCACGCCCCCCGCCTATTGTACGATGCCCGCACAGGAACGCAAGGTACAGGAATGCCCTCTGTTTCGGTGCAGTGTGATAAACAAAAAAAATAATGCATAAAGCATTTTTTCCAATCGCACTGCACCGTAACATTGGGCATTCCTATACCTTGTGTTCCAGGGCGGGCGATCGCAATGCGGATGGGGGGCGTGCCTGCGGTACCATTGACATGAATGACACTGCCACACCCCCTCCCGCCCGAGAACGGGGCCTGCCCGGATGGTTTATGGGCCTCATTGTGTGCCACCGCTTGTTTGTAGGTGCGTGGTGGTGAAGCTTCGAGCCGCCGCTCGTAGTAGGCCGGATGACAGCCCAGTCCCCTGACACTTTGTCTGATCTGGGCACTATCCACCCGATCCTCCTCTACTGGCTCTGCAACATTTTCAGGGAGTTCGTCCTCCGCTAGCTCTCCCCATGACCTGTCTGTCTGAGATAGCTCTGAGGTCTCCCCCTCCTTAAAGTCCCGCTCCAGCTGCCCTGCACTACAGGGGTTCCCCTCTGGCTCCGGTTCTGGCTGGGACGATCCTATCTCCGATCCCCCACCACTAGCAACCCCAGAGGTCTCACCTTCCTGCAGACTCCGATCTCCGAGCGAGCTGGCAGGTGCATCCGATTTCTTCAGCAGTCCGATCAAGGCCCCTCGGCCGCGGCCGATCAGAGGCTGCCCTTGTGTAGACGAATTATCACTGTAGTCGGCATCAGTCGATCTGGTAGTGGATGGAAGTTGAGGCAGGTACCTCACAGCCGCGGGTCCGCTCAATTCCTTCGCCTCCTCACAGCCTCCGGTCGCCCAATCCACCCGGTAGACACTCGGTGGTAGGTCCGATGCGATGAGTTCCATGAGGCAATCTCTGCAACGTTCACAGCGACTCCACGCTTTGATGAGTGCAGAGAGTTTCCCGCACTTTCCGCAGGTAACGGCCAAGTGCTCGGTTCCTCTGATGCTGCATAACGCCACTTCACCTCTGAGGGACATCCTCACTCCGGTGTCAGTTAGCTGGGTAAACTGGAACTCATTTCTCCATTCCATTGACTCAGGTACACTGGGTCCGTTGGGCTTGGAAACGATTGAACTTTCCATGAAGCTGTATTGCGCCATTCCTCCTGCTCCACGTGGGCCATCTTCCCCTGCAGACTGCTCACGTGCGCACAGGTCAGTAGCTCCGCCTTCTTATCACCGCTCTGGCGCCACAGCTTCCACCTGGAAAGTTTCCTGCACAATTAACCCTCGGGTTGCTGGCAGAAAGTGAATAGGTACTAGAAGACCCTCTCTCTTGTAGAAATATGGCTCTTTCACATCAATATACTCGGTAACAGTCCTTTCTTGGGTTCCCCAAAAAGACAGTTCACAAAAATACTTGAAAAAGCAAAATCTTCAGTCGGTTGCTAGGGGCAACGGCAACATAGACTAGGTCAGGAAAATCCCGGACGAGCCCCCACGTGTAGCGCTCACCCCTGAAGGAGCCGCTGAATGATGAAATAGGGTTCTCCTACCTGTTTGCTCCAGCTACCGGTCCCCTTTGATCAGCAACAGCACACCGACACTCATGGACAGAATGGCTCGGGTCTTAGGGTCTTTTTGGGGTATTTATTTGTAAGTTCAATAGGAGAGAGAGGGTTTGAGATCTGTAGGATGCCCTTGGAAATACTTAGGAGGACAGCTTTCTCCCTTAGCAACAGCTAAGGCTGAAATCACTGTGATCTGGTCCCAGAGACCAATAGTAGTAACAATACTGCGAACAGCCAGGATGATACAGTAGCTTATATGGAGAAGGTTAGCTATCTCTGGACTTAGGTAAGGACCCCTGGCTTCTTCTCGAACAGACACCTGGAATAGGGTGAGGGATCTCACTTGTGGGTCCCAGACGGACGCTCTCACCAGCTCCTCTGCGGTACCCTTCAACAAGCGGACTCTCCCTCCGACCCAGCTTCCATCAGGTATTTTCTGCATCTGCAACTGCCAAGGAGCACTCCAGGTTAGTGGTAGTATCTTCTTAGAACAAGGCAACCAACACCTGCCACGTGTGTGGGCCCAGCAAAGTATCAGTGTATCCTAGGCCTCCAGGCCCCTCAGCACCTGCCATGTGCTGAGGCCCAGGCCAGTTTTCCTGCATCACACAGACCTCATAAGGGCGAGGCCCCTAGGGGGAAGAGACCTCTGCACAGTGTCCCCAGACCTTTTATTATCTGCCCTCAACCATGCCTCTGAGTCATCCTACTCAGGGATTGGCTAGGGTCAGGTGCATAGTCATAACCTGAGGAGGGATCCTCCCTCACTGTATGCCAAGGCTCCCTTTTCCTCAGCAACAGGAGGAGCAATCAATCCAGCAGATTCAGGGACACTCATAGAATGCAGAGCTCTGTATAATCACTATCTGGACTCGTTACAGTCCAGGTATCTCTAAATTGAATAGCGACATTTTAGAGGGCGCTACATCTTTATGGACCTTGCTTTGTGCACTGGTGTAATATGCCGATCCGCCCGCATTCCCGAAGTGGTGTAAGGCTCCGCCCTCTCCTCCGACATCATGCCGTCCGTCCATGCCCACAGGGCGGCTCTCGGCGTAGCCCCCTCCGGGGGCGTTGGCCTGCTCCTCCTTACCTGCGGTCCACTTAAAGGAGAACTATGGGGTTAAGGCTTTTCCCCATAGTTCTCCTTAGGGTAACAGAAGGACACAAACTAGCGTCCTCCCGTCACCCTAGGTTCAGTATACCGCGAGCTGCTGCTCGCGGTATACTGAGACGCCGCAGAGCTACTGTGGACATTCAAACCTGGAACCGAGGCTACCATCCCACTTAAAGGAACGGTGGTATTCCCTGGACTCTCCCTCTCTATTTCAGTGGATCCACACACTACAAAAACGCAAGTATCATGCACTGTGGCCAGTGATGAGAGAGTGACTTTATGCTCGCTGCAGATTCTGGGTTGATCACAAAGAGTTGGAGGCTATGTTGTAAATACTACTATCAGATACATTTGAATACAGTGATTTAAACTGAAATCGTTTCTTTTGTGATTATATGTACTTTCAGTTGGACGCTACCCGTTACTACAGATCTTACAACTGGTGTGCAGTCATGTTGGAACAGGAAGGGGCCATCCCCAAACTGTTCCCACAAAGTTGGGAGCATGAAATTGTCCAAAATGTCTTGGTATGTTGATGCCTTAAGAGTTCCCTTCACTGGAACTAAGGGGCCAAGCCCAAACCCTGAAAAACAACCCCACACCATAATCCTCCCTCCACCAAACTTTACCCTTGGCACAATGCAGTCAGGCAAGTATCGTTCTGGCAACCGCCAAACCCAGACACGTCCATCGGATTGCCTGACAGAGAAGCGTGATTCGTCACTTCAGAGAACACATCTCCATTTTTCTAGAGTCCAGTGGCGGCGTGCTTTACACCACTGCATCCGACACTTTGCATTGCACTTGGCGATGTAAGGCTTGGATGCAGCTGCTCGGCCATGGAAACCCATTTCATGACGCTCTCTACGCACTGCTGTTGTGCCAATCTGAAGGCCAGACGTAGTTTGGCGGTCTGTAGCTACTGACTTGGCAGACGGTTAGCGCATTCTGCACAATGTGCTCTTCAGCATGCGCGGCCCCCGCTCTGTCATTTTACGTGGCCTACCACTTCGTGGCTGAGTTGCTGTTGTTCCCAGTTGCTTCCACTTTGTTATAATACCACTAACAGTTGACCGTGGAATATTTAGTAGCAAGGATATTTCACGGAACACCTGAATCCAATGATTTGGTATATAATACTTAATACTATACTATAATACTTTTGGCAATATAGTGTACCTCCTAATTCTGCACTGTGTACTAAAGCACAGCATTTAAATGAAAATTACAAATTAATTTTAAGTCACTTTTTTTACTTTCACATGTAGCTATGCACATACATTGTAGTGACACGCACCGCTCTACTCAAACTACAATACCCATTACTTATTGTACTGGCGATCCTACTGCATATGGGGAAGTCCATGAACCCATCACACTCCTGACCACTTATTCCATATAAATTGGATGGGTGTAGCGGTGGTCAATGGATGGAAACTGTCATGTCAACAGAAATAGGGACACCGGCACTCCAGATG